ATGTATCCCAAGGGGGCACCCGGTGGCTCAGGCTCTTGGTTTCCGCTCAGTTCATGATCCCGGGGTCCTGAGATCGAGCCATGTGTCGGGCCCCCTGCTCAGTGAGGAGCCTGGTTCTTCCTCTGCCTCTGCCCTTCCCCAACCTCCCCCCACACCCATTGTGCTTGCTCATTCTCTCTCTCAAATAAATAAATAAAATCTTAAGAAAAAAAACAAAAAAAAAAAAGACGGGCTTTCTATGTGACGCTGGAGAGGGTAGGATTTTTAGCATAAAGGCCAAGGCTGCAAATACATCACACTTGCCACCATTTTCTTGTCCTTCAGTCGCAGTGACACCCCTCAATTGTCTTGGTACTCCTCCCAGAGCCCAGACTCTACCTCAGAATCCTTCTTAACCCACCAGCCTGGGCGGCTCCTACCAGTCACTAAGATTTGACCAAAGAATTGAAAGCTGTCTGCCAAGCCAATGCAGGAGATGGTGGGTCACCAAAAGGCTTGAACCAGAGGAGAGTGTCCTCTACTGCATCTGAGAAAGGCCCATTGGGCAGCGGTACAGAGGGGGCATTGGTGAGCCACACACCAGGACATCCAGGTGCCCAGAATGATGGCAGAGTGGGGAGGGGTGGGGACTGAGTGGCTGGCCTCGAGACACGTGGTAAGGATGACAGGTTCATCCAGGTCAAGCCACAAGGGTGGACCAGGCCATCGTGAGGGTTCAAGGAGGACCTACCTGTTCCTCACTCATTAGTATCAGCATCACTAAAAGTGTGACCGAGAGCGAGAGCACTGGCTGAAGGGTGAGAGGCAGCCTATGTGTGGCACAGGGGGCCAGAGGGCCAGAGGCAGCTAGGCAAGCTCAGGCTCAGACATGTGGCTAAGCAGCTCGGACTCTGTCCTGACCACAGTAGGGACAGCCAAACGAGGTCAGATCGGTTTTGCAAGCCTGTGCACCCTTCCTGCCCTTGGCGCCTTGCACATGGGGGCTCCCAGCAAGCCACAAGCCCAGCCTCCTGGTGTCCACGCTGTCCTCATCGTGCAGACCAGGAAACAGACTCAGGGGGGTTCCAAAACATGTGCAAGTCCATATTGTGAATCAGGGGCAGAGCCTGAAGCCCCCCCATGCCGAAGTGGGTGGGAGGAGCCGAGGCCCTTAGAGCTGGCCCTAGCCTGGGCCCTGCACTTGAAAGGACCCTTCTCTGCCTGCTCTAGCCAAGCCCCCTCTCATCGGATGACCAGGCTGCGGGGCCAAGAGTATGTTCCCACCCAGGCCATCCTTCCAGGCAGACCCCGAAGCCAGTATGCCCACTTCTAGGCCAATGGATATGGAGTGAACTTGGACATGAAGCACGAGGGGTCCATAATCCTGTGCACAAAGCCCCTCACCGTGTGGGAGGAATCCGGGGTAGAGGGTAGGCCAGAGGCAGCCCTCCCCCACCACCATTTTCCAGAACAGAATTTTAAGGGATCCATGAATTCCTCATTGACCCGGCTTTCCAGGTCACTGAGAAGGTACACTCATGAAGGTTGGCAGACAGAACCCACTTACTGAACCATCCGTTAGCCTGAGTCATAACATACAGACATTCAGCCCTACGGCATGTCGGCTCCATCTGTCCTCATGCCTCGGGCCCTACACAAGAGTAAGTGGTTTCTGGAATGAGCTTTCTGCTTTAGGGGAGACGCAAAACACAGTTTTGTCTTTGGTCCACCGCCCCACAGATCCACTCTCCAGATGCATTCATTCCTTCCTCTGCTGCAATCCGGGCCAGTCCCACATCTCTCCTGTTTTCTCCTAGTCAAAAGAACACCTCCAATCCAATAATTAAGATGAAATATAAAATATATCATTTCTCCAGATTAAAATTTCTCCTTCCTCCAGCTGGGAGAACTACAACACGGATAAGGCGTAGAACCCCATGTCTGGTCTCACTCCTTGTTGCCTGGATTCCCCGCGGCTGCTCTGGCCCCTTTAAGGGTTGGAGGTAGAGGTGAGGAGGAGACAACAGACAAGACCCCCACCCCCACCCCATAAACATCTGCGGCACAGAAGGGAAGAAGGGAGGAGGCTAGGAGAAGGGCAAGTAAGGGAAATGTGCATACTTTAAAGGGTTCCCCAAATGCGTTAGGCTTACTACGCTAGAATGGAGAAACTGAGGCAGGGGGCTGGGGGTCCTGCAGGTGCATTAATACCGCATTTCCCTTCAGCCTGGATTTGGCAGCTGAACACTCTATGGCCAGCAAAAATCATTAGTGGCCCATATGCAGGGCTGCTAGGTTCTACTGCAAACAGCCCTCTGAGGGAGGGGGGGGCTCTCTTTTTTTTTTTTTTTTTTTTTTTTTTTTTTACCAAAATTGCTTAAACAGAGGGGTCCACCCTGGGCTTCTGACAGAGGGGACCGGACCAGAGCACCCTGGGTCAGGCAAGGTGCCCCCAGCACAGGTCTGACCCAGAAGGGCGGGCCTAGGCTCGCAAGCAGGCGCATGCGCACACGCGCTCCCACGAAGGTGAACACAGACCACACCCGAAAATCAGATGCCAACAGGAGCGATACCATGACCTAAAGGAAGATGATTCGTCAAGAAACAGCTCTGTCCCTTGGCCCATCGACGGAGACCAAGCCACTGTAAACACACACACGGAGCCAAAGCCAAGGCCGTGAAGGGCACTGCGCCAAACGCTGCCTCCAAGTCCTCTGCTTCTGGGGCTTTTGAATTTCAAGGACACAGGCCACCTGTGACTGATCGCTCATGAGACACAGGAGCGTGTGACCCCAGGCCAGCTCAAGCCTGCGATGGCCACGCATGGCAGGATCCAGTCACGTTCCGGAGCGTCACTCTCCAGCGTCTGGAACCCACCCCAAGCCTCCTTAACACCTCCCGATATCGTATTTAGGAATGCATTTTCCACAGATTCATCCAGAGCCTCTCTAAACCTAATTATACCTTCTCCCGGCTCCCATCTTGGTAGAAGTTGTTCTGGAAGATTACCACGATTGTTTGGGTCTCTTTTCATTTATGCTACAACAGTCCCGTCCAAGTTTCTGTGGCAGCCCTCAAGTTCCAGCCCACCCAACACCAGAACGCCAGTCCCCATTCACTCTCTTCCTTCCTGGACCTCACCTCTGGCTCTTCCCAACATGCATGTCTCACCCTGTGGCAGCCCTTTTGGATTTTCCTTCCCACACTTTTTAATTACAAAAATAATCCTTGAATCTATGCCGCTGGGAAAAGATGCTAAGGAGACCCGAGAGGAGGGAGGGAGAAAATGGAAGTCCACCCACCTCACCACCCCACCTTGCCCTCCAGCCTCTGTTTTCTCCATACAGGTCACTGCAAGAACTATTTGCCTACAAGCTTTATTTCTGGGCATTTACATACCCATAAATCAGAATGGTTTTTGCATAAATGAGATCTTGTTAACTCTATCATCCTACAACCTGCAAAGTTTATCTTTTCAGACTCTTCTCGTATGGAAATGCGCAGAGCCACACTACTGTGGGTGTTTGGAGAATAATACTAATAGAGGCCGTGGGCAAGTATTCCCAAACACAATGAGGGAAATAAAATTGTATGCAAAGTTTTCCAGAAGCACTTCTTGGCTTTTCAGAGTCCCGCCTTACCCAGCCATTCCCAGCACAAAACATCCCTGTTTCCCGGGGCTATAAGACATTGCCAGGATTCATCTTGGTAGCTCTTCCAGGTTCGGTAAATAAATATCACGGAGGAGAAAGAACTGGGACCAGTCTCTCGCTTTCCTCCGTAATAATAAGCGGAGTGGTGCAGCAAAAAGCTCAGGATTTGGGGGAAGCCAACGGAAGGTCAGTCTGGAGTGGCCACAAACTTGGGGACCTCCCTCTGGAGCTCAACTTCCTCCCTGGAAGGAAGGAACTAAGGAACGATTATGCTGTAACAGGTACCCTCGGAGTGGTTTTAGGATCAAAGGGCGTGGAAGGTACGAATGAATAGAGACCTATGACAGCCGTGTAGGTTATAATTATTAAATGAAGAAAAGCTGGGCACCTGGATGGCTCAGTGGGTTAAGTCGCTGCCTTCACCTTAGGTCGTGATTCCGGGGTCCTGGGATCGATTCCCGCATCAGGCTCTCTGCTTCAGCGGGGAGCCTGCTTCCTCCTCTCACTCTCTGCCTACTAGTGCTCTCTGTCTGTCAAATAAATTTTAAAATCTTTAAAAAAAAAAAAATGAGGAAAAGCTAAATTCGAGTGAGCTGCGCAAACGAGGTGTCTGGCAACTTTTCCTCGCGCGCTTACGCGTTTTCTGGGGGGAATTCAACCGCGCAGTGAGGAGACGCAGCCCCAACCGTCCCGGGGGGTGGCCAGGGCGCCACCTGCCGGCCGAGGCGGAGGCCCCGGGTGCGTCCCGGCACCGTGGGCTCCGTGACCCCGCTCCTTCGCCCGCCCCACCGCGGATCCAGCCGAGCCGAGCCGGGCTCCTCGTCCCCAAGTGGCTGCGGAGGCGCAGCCGAGGCTCCTCCGCGGCCTCAGCCCTCCAGACGGGACGGAATCGCCCCTCCGGTGTCCTGGGACAGCCGGCAGGAGACGCGGGAGACCCGGACGCTCGACCTTGGCAACCCGGGAACCTGCTCCCCAGCACAAAGCCGCGGCCGCGCAGGTGAGCGCGGCGGAGCCACGTGAACCCGTAAACGCGCAGGGACCGAGCCACGATCGCCCCCTCCGCGCGCCCCTGCAGCAGACTGCGGCCACCCTCCCTCGGACCCGGGAGCCGAAGAGGGGGGAGGTTGGGAGAGCAAAGAAAGGAAGAGAGAGGGTGGGCGCGGCCAGAGACCACCGCAGTCCGGGCCCCACACCTCCGGACCCTCGGCCCCGCGGCCGCAGCCCCACCGCCCTGCGCTCCACCCCCCCCCCCCCCACCACCACCGCCCGGCGCCCCCCGCCCCGCAGCCAGCCCCTTGTCTGCGGCCCCCAGCTGAAGGGGACCCCCAGCCCTCAGCCCCCCAGGCCCCGCAGCCGCGCGCTACTCACCGGCGGCTCCCGTAGCCGCTGCCCGGGGAGCCGGAGGCCGGCTCGGGGTAGCCGTGCTGCTGCAGGGCTGCGGCCGGGAAGGGGTACAGGAAGCCGGTGGCCAGCGCCGACCCGCAGAGGCAGCAGCACGCCCAGGGCAGGAGGAGAGCCAGCTTCATCTTGCGCGGCCGCCCGCGGGGTCCCGGAGCCCGGGCGGGAGGACAGGCGGGAGCGCACCGGCGGCCGGACCGAACCCGCGGCCCCCGCCGGGAGCAGATCGACGGAGCCGGCGAGCGAGCGGAGCCCGGCCGGGAGTTGGAAGTTTCTGAGGGGGCGGGGGGGCGCCCACGCCTCACCAGGGCCGCCTTTTCAAATTCGGCGAGGTGGGCTCAGCGCCGTCAAAGGGGGCGTGGGGCTTTTTCATTAACCCTCGGCGGTCCGCGGCCGAGGTGGCGCCAGTGGCTGCAGGCCTGGGGGTCCTGCGTCCTCGCGCGCACGCTCTTTAGAACCTTCCCGACCGAGCCCTGTTCGGGTCCGCAAACGCTCGTGGGGCACCCACTCCATGCCTGGCGATTTCCCCTGGGCAAAGTTGTTTAATCCCCACAGCATTGTCCTCTGTGTTAGATGGCACCGGTCCCATGTTTCAGAGGTGAAAACCGAGGCTCATGAGAATTAAGCCGGAAAAGCAACGCGGTACCTGTCCGGGGCCCTTTGGGCCAAACTCTTGCACACCCGGGCTTCCCTAGAATCCTCTTCCCGTTCACCTCCACCGTCTACCTCCACAGCTATCTCTCCAAGGTGAGCTGTAGCACAGAAGGAGGAAAGCGTGGGGTCAGGGCTGAGAAGTTTCTGGAATCATCCATTCGTGAGGCATCAGATCTGGAAAGTAGCTGAGGGGAGGGGAGATCTATACAATCCCACCTCCCACCTTTTACAGAGGGACAGGCTGAGCCCACCGACTAGTCTGGCCCCAAATTGATCTCTTCTGGGCTGCAGGATACCCACAGAACCGCCCCTCATGCAAGAGACAGGTGGGACCTGAATCCAGCCTGTGCCCCACTCCCTAGGTTGGGAGTCTCTAATTTTTCCACCTAAGCATCCTAGGGGCTGGCAGAGGCCCTGAGACTGCCTCTGGCCCTGTTCACAGTGGGGAGTTCCCAGTCTGTAAAATGTCTGTAAAATCTGGAGAGAAGCCATCCAATAAGGAAGTGTTTAATGGGTTGTAATACATTTGGGAAGAGAACTGTGGGATTGTTTTTAGAAGAAGTCGGGAGGATGCTGTTGGGAACCTGGCCCAAAAGGCCCCCTCCGGTGGCTTTTGCCCTCTTGCATCCATATCCCATAGGTACCCCCTTGAATACATAGCCCAAAATATCATATCCAACCCACTTCACCCTCTCTCCAAAACTACCCCCTCTTTCTCCACTTAGTGCCCTCAAATCCTGCCCAGGCGTTTTCAGTGGCACTCCCACACTTCCCAAGTGTCGAGTCTCTCAACAGGACTCCGGATGGATGAGTCCATCTCCGCGTGGGCAGCCCATAACGGGAAGCGTCACTTGGACCTGGGACGACTTCCTTTTCATCTTGCCCTCCATCTCTCTCTCAAGGCCTAGAAGATTTGGAGAATTTGGGGTATCAGCGGAATTTCAGGGCCTCCCCCAAAACTGATCTGTGCTCCCTGGACAGTTGGCTAAGTCCCAGGAAGTGATGAGGTCATTCCCCATCTCCCAGGAATTTGTAAACATTCTGTCTTTCTTCTTCCTCTTCTTTACTCTCATAATGAGACAAGAGAGATTCCATGTTATTGTACATGACCTTTATACTGCAGGCATGATAGTAAAAGGACAGATTTTTTTTTTTTTTTAAGAATCTCCTTTTTATCTTAAAGTCATTTTTTTCCAGGGCCACAGACTGCACCCCAGCTAGAGGGACCTAGAAGAGGACGGGATAACACTACTCTTTATTTTGTAGGATTCTTTTAGGATGAAAAGCTGTTGGAAAAGAATTAATTCATCCCAACAACTTCAGGACTGGGGCAATTGTCTGAGGGTGGTCCTTTCCTTCATAGCTAGGCCAATAAAGTTCATTCTGGCCCCATGACCATGAACCAGGCAACTTCTGTGTGTCCCACACAGTGCTGCCTGCAGTGAAGGCAAGTAGAGGAAGAGAATATGTTTACCCCATTTAGACCAATTGTGCTATTCTTTAGGAAGGCTTTAAAATGGCAAAACCTCTGTGAACAAGAGGAGGTTCCATTTCGATGGTAAGGGATAAAAAGACAAAGATGCCTAAAATCAAGAAAAGAAATAGGACTTCTCCCACACCAGCCAGATCCAGAAGCCCCAGGTCTGCTCCTGGCTCCCCCCACTAACTTGTTGATGACCTTGAGTAAACTCCCTTCTCTGGTATCCCCAGCCCACCCCCGACCCCACATCTTCATTTGTAAAGTGAAAAGTGGTTTGGCTTGTCTCTGAAGATCTTTCCAGGTCTGGTCTTCAGTAACTCACTTTTTCCCTTCATCCTCCACTCCCCTCTCCAAGGCAGCTGTCAATATAGCCAACCTTATCAAGCTGTCACTCTTGTAGGCCAGATTTGCAGCAGCTGGACCCCCCTCCCTACCAGCAGGGCCTAGAAGAATAGAGAAATGTTCACAGCATTACACTCTAAACTCCTCCCCCATCCCCCGCCCCAGAGAACACCAGTGAGTAGAGTCCAACTCCAACTAGTACCAGCTGTGTGACCTTAACAAGTGACCTAACCTCTCTGAGCATCCTCAGTCTGTAAAATCAGTAATAATAACAGTGGATGCGTTTGCTAGAAAAGAATTTGATGAATTATTCACATGAAGTGCCCGAAGGCAGCAGGTAACACCTTATAATGTTCAATAAACATTAATTATGATCATTTGCAAGGCTTTGGTGTAGAATAATATCTAAGAACACCACCCTTCCCAACCCCCCACCGCCAGTGGGGCTGACCAGGAGGCTCATATCCCAGAGTGTGCAGAGCTTTCTCCAACGATTCTTGGAGCCCCAGGATGAACCCATTATTGTCTTATTCTGTGGTCAACAATTTTAAAAAAACTTTATTTTTAGAATAAATACAGGAGGGGCACCTGGATGGCTCAGTCAGTAGAGCATCTGGCTCTTGATCTCAGGGTTGTGAGTTCAAGCCCCATGTTGGGCCCAGAGCCTACTTAAAAAAAAAAAAAAAAAAAAGATGAAATTTTAAAGAATAAAACAAATGTGGGGGAGATTATTGTGTAAAATAGGCAACTTGTGTTATTTTTTTAGGTGAAACATGCTTGTGGGGGGTGGCAAGAGTAGGGAGGTGTGAGCGCCCTGAAATAAGGGGCCAGGTGGTACCCTTAGAATTGAGTGGTCCTCAGTCATAGAATTGATCAGCTGGCCTTGTCAGCACATCACACAAGCACCTGTCTGACTATTCCACAACCGTGCCTGTGGCACCCCTAAAAATATGCTAACACTTGGGAAAAGGCAGAAGCCGCCATTGCCAAGGGCTTGGAGCTGGGCCCCCTGCAGGGCTCGCTCCTTCCTCCTCTCTTCCTCGGTGACCCTGGGCGATCCCCTAACCAGCCCCTCCCAACTTCCATACAATGAAAACCCCACCAACGGGGACTGGCAGGGCTGTGCTGAGTGCCTCCACTGTTTACACGGACAGGCAGGGGTTCTCAGAATTCCCATTTTTCAGACAAGGAGTTGAACGAAGTGATTTGTCCAGGAGCCTGTGCTCGCCCCGTTTCCTAAGTTCAAAAGTGCCTTTAAAAAGGGGGTTGTTTGTACAAAGAGGGATCAGATTTCCTGGTGGAAGGAGGCAAACCCCACACGCACGTGAGCGTGCACACACACACACACACACACACATACACACGACTAGGGGGGTTCCTCCTCATCTCTGTTACCAGGCCTTTCTGATAAGAAAATATCAGTCAGCATCCTCTTCCGCAGACAAAAAACAGATCTTCTGTTCTGCTGAAGTCAGCAGAACAAGCCACTCACTGAACAAGAAGAAAATACTCATCAAGCTGAAGCCAAGGTAAATATTGACCTTCTGGCATGATAAATCCTCCTGTTAATCTAAAACAGAAATCTCCCCCTCCCCCAAAGTGCCCTGTTGGACATGATTCTGCTGTTTCCGCCCCCCGCCCCCCAGAAGTTCAGAGAGGCAATGTAGGACCGGAGCAGTTTTCACACTGGTTTCTCCAGCTGCCCCTAATCCCCACTGTTCTGGATCCCAGGACAGCCCAGAAATGGGCTGAGTTGACTCAAGGTAGTGGGACAGTCACAATAGAAGGGCTTCTTTGTTCTCGCCGAGCTTTCTGTCCTTGGCCAGGCCAGAACTCGAGCAAAGCATGGATATTTTGGAAGCTGCGAACCCTGAATTTTTCTTCTTTCCCCGCACACCTCCCAAGGTAGGGGTCGCTTCTTTGCCCAGCAAACCTACAGGTGTGAGCTTGCCTGTTTACCCAAATATTGGCCATGAAGTAGATGTTCAGAAGACAGCAAGTGGATGCCTGTCACAAGAGCCCATGTTCTTAAACAGAAGTTTGAAAGGAAAACCAACCCAAAAAAGGGTCAAAAACAAAACCTAAAAAAACACCAAGAAAGAGGGAGTGTGTCCAGTCGCCAATAAAATACCGAAATCGCAACTCACATGGTGATCAGTTTTGCTTCTTGATGTAGCCACAGGACAAACAGTGCTTCTCAAAGAACTTACCAAGATGGCTATGTGATAAAGACAGAAAGGGGACACCTTAGTGGGCTCCATCCACTGTGATAACAGAATACCATAGACTAAGAGCCTTAGAAACAACAGAAATTTATTTCTTACAGTTCTGGGAGCTGGAAGTCCAAGATCAAGGTGTTGATAAACTTGATGTCAGGGGAGGGACGCTTCCTGGTTCAGGCATAGCCATCTTCTCGCTGTGTCTTCACATGGCGGTGGGGACAAGGGAGCCCCCTAGGACCTCTTTTATGAGGACACTAGTCCTGTTTGGGGAGGGTTCCACCCTCCTGAGCTAAGCTCCTCCCAAAGGTCCCACCTCCTAATACCACAGCACTAGGGGTGAGGATCTCACCGAATGATTCAGGGCTGGGGGACACAAATATACAGTCCCTTGCAGGTTACCCTGGCACAGGTAGGAAGATGGTGGGGTGTTCAGACACAATGACTCCGAATCAAGATGGGTCTCCCACAAGTGCCCCAGCGGAGGGTCTATGATGA